TCAGAGTAGCAACTTTGATGGTAAGTGTTATCAAATTAACAAGGTTAACTATGTTGAGCATAGCCACTACCCAGATTTCATTTAGGGTGTCCATCAACACGAGAAATATAATGATTAGACTACTATGTACAAAATCGCTAACCAACACTACTGCAAAGGTCAAGGGCGCATATCACCAGAATAATACGGTTTGAGGCCTCCAGTGTAGCTGCGAGCTAAGGAAATTAATACCTTACACAAAGAAACCCGAGGCATTGTATACAATAACAGTTGTATGAACTGTTGGATGATACGCTGCCGTTGTCTACTCACCAAAACAGTGTCACTTCAGCAACAATAAAGAACGGTGGCGTTTTGGCATTTTTGAATTTTCGTCCTTCGAAGTCTTCTTCTCCTGTCACAGCCTTCTCGAGCTCCGCTCTTCTCACAAGAAACCATACAGACATCCACCGCCTCTACTCGTCGCACAATGATGATCACTATAAGGAGCGATCTATAGGAAACATCTCTCTCAATAGTAAAATGGTCTTTTTGTGCTTTTCATTATAAATAGGATTCAATCTTCCTCTTTTGAACTTGGCAGTTGGTAGCAAGAGTGACTGGGTATTTGCTTTGTCTACCATGGGTCCATTCATGTAACTACTTCAATAGATCAATCACAGTGTGTGTGTGCTGGGTGATTGAGTCTTGGGGAGTAGGAGTGTTGAGTGTTTTTATTCTTATCAAAGGGCCAAGTTATTTGGCTTGGCTAGGGTTCTGTTTATACGAGTGTATATCTACTTTAAATTCAATAAAATTTTTCTTTTCATTCCACTATGATTTCACAATTGGTATCAGAGCCTACTCTTTGAAGGCTTAATCGTCGCCAAAGAGAGGATCTTAGGGATGTCTGGGTCTTCATCAACTGCAGTTTCTTACTTTACAAACACAAACCCTCCTTGGTTTGATGGAACAGACTATACAGTTTGGAAGAAGAGAATGCGAATTTACCTTCGTGGAGTCGATGGAGAATTGTGGGCAGTTGTGAGGAAAGGACCTGTTCCTATGAACGATGAAGACGAAGAAGAGTGGAAAGAGGAGTAGAAGATATCATCACAGCTTGATTCAAGAGCTATGCACATCCTGTTTTCAGCACTCTGTCATGAAGAACGGAGTCAAGTTGCTCAATGTGAGTCTGCTATGGAGATTTGGGAGTCTCTTCAGACTACCCATGAAGGTACGTCTGATGTCAAATAAAGTAGAATTGATGTTCAGTTAAATGAATATGAATCCTTTGAAATGAGCTTAGGAGAATCAATTTCTAGCATGTACAAACGATTTAATGACTTGATCAATATATTAAAGGGTCTAGGGAAAATGTTCGAGACTAAAGACCTAGTTAGAAAAATCTTAAGATGTTTGCCTAGAGAATGGCTACCTAAGCGAACTGCAATTGAGGAAGCTAAGGATTTGAATGTTCTATCTATTGAAAGATTGATTGGATCATTACTAAGTCATGAAGAAGTTATATTTCAAATGAACGAAGAAGATTATAGAAGAAGAAAAGTCATTGCATTTAAAGCTCAAGAGTATGATAGTGATTCTGAGATAGATATGGGGGAAGAATTTGAAAAGAAATTTGCTCTTGTAAGTAGAAAATTTCATCGTATGCTCAAAATGAAAAAGGACTTTCAAGCAAAAAGAGCATATCATGACTCTAGACATTTCAATAATCAGTTTCCTGATCACAAAAGGGAAAGAGAAGGGATCGAAAGAATTCCCACCAAAACCAATGAAAATACACCTCATACAGACCATACTTTGAGAAAAGCACTCCAAGCTCATATGATAAATCTTCTGAAGGTCGAGAAAGGCTTAAATTTGTTAAGGAAGACCATAGGTCTTCCAGTGAAAGAGATTTAACTATTTGTTATAAGTGTGGCAAGACAGGGCATGTTCGCTCTAAGTGTCCTACATGAGTCAAAGCTAAGGAAAAGGCATTGGCTGCCTCATGGAGTGACTTCAGCTCTGAAGAAGATCAAGAAGTCAAAAATCTTGCGTACATGGCCTTTGCAACCAAAAGTGAAAGTGATTACCAATCCTCAAGCAGTAATGATCAACTGCCTCCTTCGTGCTATCAGGTAATCACTCACTCAGAATCAGAAAAAGATAATATCTTTGAATCAAACACTGATTTTCTTCATGCTTTAACAAATCTACAAGATGAATGTAAAAGACTCAAAAGTAAGTATTGTTTACTTATGACTGGTAATCAGGCTTTAAAAAGGGAAATTCTTACCTTAAATAGATCCTTGAGTTTTCAAAATGAATGTCATGAAAAACTGAATAAGCAAATTTTCGATCTTACAAATGAGAATAAAAGGCTAAATGAACTGTATAAAACAAAATCTAGTTATCATATAAAGAATCATAACATGTATGGATCAAGACTAAGCAACAATGCTCCTTCTCGTAGATACTTCACTAAGCAATATACAAATGGTTACTTTGAAGACAGAAAATACATGAAATATCCTGTTATTTACACATCTCCTATTGTAAAAGAAATGGCCACTTGGCAAAATTCTGCTATGATCTGCAGAACCTGATAAAACCTGGTATATCCAAAACATTTTGGGTACCAAAATGTACTAACTCATGATTGATTGTAGAGTTTGAGAGAGAATGAGAACATATGGTTTCTGGACAGTGGTTGCTCCCACCACATGACAGGTAAAAAGAAATAATTTTCTTCTTTGAGTTACAAAAAGGGTGGTAAAGTAGTGTTTGGAGATGATCGAGTAGGAATAATCATGGAAAATGGCACAATTGGTAAGAATCCTCTCCCTACTACCAGAGATGTATTATTTGTTAAAGGGCTAAAACATAATCTTCTTTCCATAAGTCAACTTTGCAGTGCTGAGAACAGAGTAATATTTGAATCAGATTCCTGTCAAATCATTAGGATAAATGATAATAAACTGCTATTCAGTGGAACTAAGAAAAACAATATGTATGTTGTTAATCTAAATTGTCTAAAAACCTTTAACGAAACTTGCTTTCAAGCTAATTTGCATGATCTCGAAATGCTCTGGCATAGATAATTAGGACATGTTTGTCTATCAAAGTTGTCAAAATGATCTAAAATGAAGTCAGCCAAAGGAATTCCTGTTTTAAAAGAAAATTCCAAGTTTTCCTATGATGCTTGTGTAGGGGGTAAACTAGCCAAGAAAAGTTTTAAATCTAAAAGAGACATAACCACTTCTGAACCCTATGAGTTAATCCATATGGACCTATTTGGACCTATTAATGTGGCTAGTCTTGGAGGTAAATCATTTGCCTTTGTGTTGGTTGATGATTTCTCTAGATATACTTGGGTTTACCTGCTTGCATCAAAGGATGAAGCCTTTTGTTGTAAAAAAAAAGGATGAAGCCTTTGGTAGCTTTAGAATGTTTGTGAATCGGATATTAAGTGAATCTAACAAAGATATCAAATCAATTCAAAGTGATAATGGGGGTGAGTTTATTTCTGAACAGTTTGGAAATTTATGTAATGAGAGAGGTATAAACCATACCTTCTCTACATCATGAACACCTCAACAAAATGGTGTTGTAGAAAGAAAGAATAGAACCATAATTGAAGCAGCTATAACAATGCTTTTGGAATATGGTACACCTAAAGTTTTCTGGGGTGAAGCTGTTATGACTGCTGTCTATGTAATCAATAGAGTACTAATAAGAAAGTCTATAAATAAAAACCTTTATGAAATTTTAAAACAGAAAACACCAAACTTAGGATACTTTCATCCCTTCGGGTGTAAATGTTTCATTCTAAATACAAAGGATCATCTATATAAATTTGATGCAAAATTTGATCAGTCCATGTTTATGGGATATTCATCTAAAGGCCAGGCATACAGAGTATACAACCTCAGATCTAAAAGGGTTGAGGAATCCGTATTTGTTAAATTTGATGAATCTATGGGTAATAACAAAGTCTCTTCCGAAAATATAGACTTTTTGTTTCCTGTTTCAACAGAAGAACAAGATACTGAGGAAAATAAGGCATCAAAGGAAATACAAGAAAACAAAAGTGAACCAAGCAATGCATCAACTGAAGGAGAGGAGAAAGAGGCCCCTGCACATATCCAGAAACGACATCCTCCTTCACAGATCATAGGACAACTTAGAGATGGCATTCACACCAGAGGTAAGTACCAACTAGGTCAGTATGCCTTTGTATCTTTACTAGAACCAAAAAATTACAAGGAAGCATTAACTGATGATGAGTGGTTGTGTGCTATGCAAGAAGAATTACTACAGTTTGCTAGGCTGCATGTTTGGGAACTTGTTCCTCGTCCACTAGATCGTTTAATTATAGGAACAAAGTGGGTTTTCAGAAATAAAACTGATGAAGAAGGACAAGTGATTAAAAATAAAGCCAGATTACTAGCACAAGGTTACTCACAGGAAGAGGGAATGGATTATGAAGAAACTTTTGCACCTGTTGCACGCATTGAGTCTATTAGAATGCTTTGTGCCTTTGCTTGTTATATTAAAATTCCTCTGTTTCAAATGGACGTAAAAAGTGCCTTTTTAAATGGAGAAATAAAAGAAGAGGTATATGTAAGCCAACCACTAAGCTTCAGATCGTAAAAATCCTGACCATGTTTACAAATTATCAAAAGCTTTGTATGGTTTAAAGCAAGCACCTAGGGCATGGTGCGATAAGTTGTCTACATTTCTGAAAAATGAAGGGTTTTGCCAAGGAAATGTTGATAAAACCTTATTCATAAAAAGGGAAAATTTAGACACTCTAATTGTGCAAATTTATGTTGAAGACCCTACTGTCACTTCTACTGTCACTCCAGGAATTGGCCAAGTGAAACCACTTCCTAAAGCGTAGTATAGCGGGTTTGAGTTTAATTATCAACCCGGGTCCTAGATCTGATGACTACTCAGTGAATTCTTGTTATCTAGCAATGAAACTGGCATGCAAGTCTAAACTATCAAACTAACAAAGCAAGTAAACGGTTGTATTCAGGTTAAGAGAGGTCACCCGGATATGGTTCCCCCTAGACTGCAGTTAAGCCGGATTGCAATTACCAAGTTCAGTTTCTATGATAGTTATACTGCGGAAGGTTCTTAAACAGCCTGAAGTCTTGACTAAAGGTCTTCAGACCCTCTCAATCTGAATCTCTAGCGGGCGACTAACCTCCACCGGAGTAAACAGATTGAGGCCTTAACAAACAAAACCTCCACTACCGGAGTAAATCCGGTACAGAATAGTGAGTTGGCTCCTCGACTAAAGTCACCAACTCCCTACCTTCAATCAAGGATGCTCTATCAACCTAGGCAGATATTCTCATTCTAGGTTAAAGCAGAAATAACAGGAATTTGATCAGGATTCATGCCATTCAATCAATCAAACCTCAATCGAATATAATCAAATCATAGAATCAGTACTTGGGTTCATACAATCAAAGCCTAACATACAAATCTAGGGTTCTCCATACCCAGATGAATGGGAGAACTACTCCATGGAGAAAGAAACAAAAGCAGAATCAGACGCGGAATTCATACTGTGAAGGATGGATTCCTGCTCCTGGACGTTGATTGGCACTCCTCTAAGCTCAAACTGGCCTCCAATGGTGTTGAAGATCAAGCTAGGGCACTTGGAGACTCTTGTTCGTCGCTTTCTCTCTCTAGGAATCGTTCTCTCTCTCAAAAACTCGAATCCCCTTCTCTTTGGCTGAAAATCTGCTTAAAAAGGCATCACTGGCCAAAGCACGGTCGAGGGCACGGCCGTGCTTTGCCTCAGCCCGCCCATGCTTTGGCTAGTGTTAATTACACGGCCAGTGCATTGGGAGAAACACGGCCGTGCTTTGGAGAGAACACGGCCGTGCTTTGGGAGAACACGGCCGTGCTTTCAGCCCGTGTAATCAGCTCATGTTTGCCAAACTCGAATTAGCTCTCGGCAGTAAAAGCACGGCCACAGAACACGGCCGTGTTTTGGAGAGAACACGGCCGTGCTTTGGGAGAACACGGCCGTGTAATGAATTAGGTGTGCCCGTATTTTGGCTCCAGCTCGACGAAATGACTTCCGAATGCCACGAAACTCGTGCTTAGCCTTTCCTTTGACGCCTGGGACCTGAAATATGACAAAATAGCACAACCCGACGTAAAATAGGCCAAAAGTACACGACTATGCCCCTCAAACGGATAAGAACTAGGGGCGCACCATTAGAAAAGGGGTTCTAACCATCTTCAAAGAATATAGAGCACCTTGAAAATGTGAGTCCATGATCTTTTGTTTTTGAGAATCTCTTCATCCACAATTCATTTGTCCTCTGTTCACTATTTGCCATGATGTCGACTCGATACTAGTGCTCTCGCCGAAGAAGCTATGAGATGACTTGTGCGTCGGTTGACCTCGTAAGTTGCTAAATGATCTACGAAGTCCTCTACCTAAGATCTGGGTTGTTTGTTGCTATAGAGGTCTGGAGAGTTTCATTGGTTTGAGTTAGGTTTGCTTGGGGACAAGCAAACGGTTAAGTGTGGGGGAGTTTGATAACGATGTAATTGCACATATTTGCGCCCCTAGTTCTTATCCGTTTGAGGGGCATAGTCGTGTACTTTTGGCCTATTTTACGCCGGGTTGTGCTATTTTGTCATATTTCAGGTCCCAGGCGTCAAAGGAAAGGCGATGCACGAGTTTCGGGACATTCGGAAGTCATTTCGTCGAGCTGGAGCCAAAACACGGGCACACCTAATTCATTACACGGCCGTGTTCTCCCAAAGCATGGCCGTGTTCTCTCCAAAACACGGTCGTGTTCTGTGGCCGTGCTTTTACTGCCGAGAGCTAATTCGAGTTTGGCAAACATGAGCTGATTACACGGGCTGAAAGCACGGCCGTGTTCTCCCAAAGCACGGTCGTGTTCTCTCCAAAGCACGGCCGTGTTTCTCCCAATGCACTGGCCGTGTAATTAACACTAGCCAAAGCACGGGCGGGCTGAGGCAAAGCACGGGCGGGCTGAGGCAAAGCACGGCCGTGCCCTCGACCGTGCTTTGGCCAGTGATGCCTTTTTAAGCAGATTTTCAGCCAAAGAGAAGGGGATTCGAGTTTTTGAGAGAGAGAACGATTCCTAGAGAGAGAAAGCGACGAACAAGAGTCTCCAAGTGCCCTAGCTTGATCTTCAACACCATTGGAGGCCAGTTTGAGCTTGGAGGAGTGCCAATCAACGTCCAGGAGCAGGAATCCATCCTTCGCAGTATGAATTCCGCGTCTGATTCTGCTTTTGTTTCTTTCTCCATGGAGTAGTTCTCCCATTCATCTGGGTATGGAGAACCCTAGATTTGTATGTTAGGCTTTGATTGTATGAACCCAAGTACTGATTCTATGATTTGATTATATTCGATTGAGGTTTGATTGATTGAATGGCATGAATCCTGATCAAATTCCTGTTATTTCTGCTTTAACCTAGAATGAGAATATCTGCCTAGGTTGATAGAGCATCCTTGATTGAAGGTAGGGAGTTGGTGACTTTAGTCGAGGAGCCAACTCACTATTCTGTACCAGATTTACTCCGGTAGTGGAGGTTTTGTTTGTTAAGGCCTCAATCTGTTTACTCCGGTGGAGGTTAGTCGCCCGCTAGAGATTCAGATTGAGAGGGTCTGAAGACCTTTAGTCGAGACTTCAGGCTGTTTAAGAACCTTCCGCAGTATAACTATCATAGAAACTGAACTTGGTAATTGCAATCCGGCTTAACTGCAGTCTAGGGGGAACCATATCCGGGTGACCTCTCTTAACCTGAATACAACCGTTTACTTGCTTTGTTAGTTTGATAGTTTAGACTTGCATGCCAGTTTCATTGCTAGATAACAAGAATTCACTGAGTAGTCATCAGATCTAGGACCCGGGTTGATAATTAAACTCAAACCCGCTATACTACGCTTTAGGAAGTGGTTTCACTTGGCCAATTCCTGGAGTGACAGTAGAAGTGAGTCACATTGTGTTTGGATCAACAAACCCTTCCATGTGTGCAAAATTCTGCGAAATCATGAAATCAGAATTTGAAATGAGTATGATGGGAGAACTATCACGTTTTCTAGGCTTGAAAATTAAACAAAAGAAGTCAGGAATATTCATTAATCAATCTAGCTACACTGAAGCAATGCTTAAGAAGTTCGACATGAGTTCTGTAATTGAAAGTCTAACACCTATGGCCACCAATCTGAAGTTAGACAAAGATGAAGGAGGAATAGCCTTCTGTGAAAAGAAATACAAGGGGAATGATTGGTTCACTCCTTTATTTAACAGCCAGTCGACCTGATATTTAGTTTAGTGTAGGGCTATGTGCAAGATTTCAATCAAACCCTAAGGAAAGCCATTTTAAAGCGGTTAAACGAATATTCATGTATCTTAAGGGAACAATTGATGTAGAATTATGGTATCCAATCTCTGATTCATTTGAATTAGTAGGTTATAGTGATTCAGACTTTAGAGGATGCTTGGTAGATAGAAAAAGCACTTCAGGAACCATTCAGTTTCTAGGACCTGCTCTGGTTTCTTGGTTTAGTAAAAAAGGGAGCAATTGCTCTTTCAACAGCTGAAGCTGAGTACATGGCAGCTGGAAGCTGCTGTGCTCAATCATGTGGATGAAAGCTCAATTGTCTGACTATGGTTTTAAATTACAGGATGTTCAAGTTTGTTGTGATAACACTAGTGCAATTAGTATGACAAAGAACCTTGTTCAACACTCTAGAACAAAACACATTGAGATAAAATACCATTTTATTAGAGATCTAGTACAAGCAGGACACATCTGTTTACAGTTTGTTTCTACTAACTCTCAATTAGCTGACCTGTTTACAAAATCACTTCCTAGTGAACGTTTTCTTCAATTATGCACAGAGCTAGGGCTCAAATCTTCGAGTCATATTAAGAATATTTCAAACTAAAAAACTCATTGGCCCTTTTTGATCTGGGTGTTTTGCGTGTCTTGGTTAAGTAAATAAAATCCTTTTTCGGCCATGCTTGCATTGTTCCAAGACAACGTCGTGCATGCTAATAACTAATCATCCTGCGGGAAACTCTTCCTCTTCTCCAATCCTTCTCATTCTTCTGCCTATATAAATCTCCTTCTCCATCCTGTTCTCCTCACACTATCCTAGATAGACAATCAACCAAACACAAACCCAGCAAAAATACTCAGCCGATCCAAAATGAGTGACTATATCTCTCGCCCTTTCCGCTTTGATGGGTTGGTTCACACCTACTCTGGCTACATGTTCCATGAGCCTATGGTGATAAACCATCACCGTTATCTCCAACATTTTGACAAGAGAAGGCTCCACCACATTACCCAACTCGATCCTTATGAGTTTAATGTCTACAAGTACAACATCATCTCTCTCATTGAAGGATTAGGGTGGGACTTCCTTCTTCGCCAGCCTCTTCACCCTACCTGTCCTAGAGCTGTGAAGCATTTCTTCTCAAACCTCAAATGCAGGGGTGTAAGCTCGAGAAGCTTCACCACATTGTTTTATGGTCATCTGCTGACCATACCAGTCGAAGCCCTGAATGGCATTCTTGGTTTTCCCTCCCAAGGACTTGGCATCGCTCACCCCTCTGAATTTTGGAAGCACGAGTTCAAGGTTGAGGTGGAATATAGAAACTTCTCAACTGAGCCAACTGGTGGCTCTGATGTCCCCATTCCTATTCCTGGTTGCCTCCACGGCTAAGGATCTTTCATCATTTCCTCACCCATGTCTTCTTTCCTCGATCCTTCAATCAGGATCGTGTCCTCCCTATGGATCTCTGGATAATCTCCAGTGCAATAGCTAGATGAAAGTTAGACTACGCAAGCATTATGTTTGGCCAACTTCTCCCTGTGGGAGATGAAAATTATAGAGGACTGCTGCCATTTGGATCTATTATCACTCGTTTGCCGATTAACCTAGGTATATAAGCTCACTAAATGTGCTCATGGTGCTTGATCTGCCCACTGATATTCCTCCTCCTCCTCCTCCTCGCTCTTCTGCCTCTCTTCTTTGTCCTCCTCCTAAGCCCTCTTCTGCTAAAAAGGCCAAGTCTGCAGGGGAACCTAGCAAAACTGGTGACCTTGTGTTAACCATCTCTGAAGGAAACTCCTCTTCAGATGACTCTGCAGCCTCTGCTCCTGCTTCTTAACTTTCGCGCTTTTCTGTTTTCTTAAGTAGTTGAGCAACTTTTGTAATGTCCTCCTGTCTAAAAGATGATGCTTTTGTCCAGGGGGGATGAGGTTAGGTATCTAGTTGTTAAGTTGTTGTTGCTGTTTAGGGGGAATATGCTTGACTTATTCCATCTTTTGTAAACTCATATCCCACGAGTTATATGGCCATGCTCCTACTATTATCTGTTTTTTAATTAATGCAACTATGTTTCGTTTGGATTCTTGGCCTGTTGTTGTCTATCTTCTCTTTTGCAGGTATCCCCATACTTCTTGGACGAAGGGGGAAATTGTTGGATGATACGCTGTCGTTGTCTACTCACCAAAACAGTGTCACTTCAGCTAGGGCTGGAGCCGGTTCGGTTTGGTTATAACCGATAACCGATTGATCGGTTATCGGTTAACCGAACACATGTCTCCCCCTATCGAACACCGACCGACATCAAACTTTGGTTAACCGTGGTTATCAATCGATCTGTTACGGTTAACATTTTGGTTAATTGACTAACCGAATAATTTAATATTATAATAATAATTTAGTTAATTGAAAACTTAAAAAAAAGGGAGATAGGGATCGGGCCGCTGCTCCACATCTCTCCTCTGCATCTCTTCATCATCTCTACATCTCACCACCCAATCCCGCCGCCACTCCAACTAATCCCGCCGTCGCGGCGCCTAGGCTCGCCTGTCTGGACGAAAGGCGGTCTGGGACGGAGGAAGGTGTCGGAGGAGACGGCGTGGTTGTCTGCTGCTTGAACGGAGGAAGACGCAGAGGAAGGGGTCGCGCGGAGGATCATCTGGGGTCGGCAGGGGTTGCCGAGGATCGGCGGGGATCGTCGGGTTGTGGGGGGGTGTCCGGGGTTTGGGGTGAACGAAGGGGGAAGAGGCGGCTGTTGTTTGGAGTTGGAGGAGGATAACGAAAATGAAAGGAACAATTAGGGTTGGGGGTAATTATTTATGACATAAAACGACGTGGTTTTGGGTAAGTCGGTTATTTTTCGGTTAGCTGGTTAATCGCGGTTAATCATCTTCGGTTACTCGGTTAACCGGAAATCATCTCCCTTCTACTGAACACCGACCGAGGGTGCATATTTTTGGTTATCGGTTAACCGATTAACCGGTGGTTATCGGTTAGCCGACAGGTTAACCGGCAGCCGGTAACCGAATCGCCACCCCTAACTTCAGCAACAATAAAGAACGATGGCGTTTTGGCATTTTTTAAGTTTCGTCCTTCGAAGTCTTCTTCTCCGTCTCGCAGCCTTCTCGAGCTCCGCTCTTCTCACAAGAAACCAGACAGACATCCACCGTCTCTACTCGTCGCACAATGATGATCACTATAAGGAGCGATCTATAGGAAACGACTCTCTCAATAGTAAAACGGTCTTTTCGTGCTTTTCATTATAAATAGGATTCAATCTTCCTCTTTTGAACACGGCAGTTGGTAGCAAGAGTGACTGGGTATTTGCTTTGTCTACCATGGGTCCATTCAAGTAACTACTTCAGTAGATCAATCACAGTGTGTGTGTGCTATTGAGTCTTGGGGAGTAGGAGTGTTGAGTGTTTTTCTTCTTATCAAAGGGCCAAGTTACTTGGCTTGGCTAGGGTTCTGTTTATACGAGTCTATATCTACTTTAACTTCAATAAATTTTTTCTTTTCATTCCACTCTGATTTCACATGAACGACATTTCCATAATACATGAATGAGGCATTAAGAAGATCCCATTTAGAGAACAGGGAATGAGCCTAGCTCATCCCCAAAAGATCACCATACGGGTGTGATTGCAGAATGAGTGATAAAATCCTAGGAGGCCCTAGGGTCGTGTTCCTTGAGATTTTATAATGCATAACTACTCACACCAACTATCCATGACATAAACAAAACATGAAAGATTTGTAGGTATTTTTCAATTAACAAACAAGCAAAGCAAGAAGATTAAAGTGATTTATGAGTTTTTCAATTCACTATAAATAAAGTGTCATCAGGGAGACGAGGAGTTACGGTGCTAATTGTACAATAGTTAGCACCGTCCTAACCAAGGGAAAAACTACTACTAGTTTGAATTAGTAGTGATTTAGCTTAGATGTTGTATTGATTTTATAATGGGAAAAACTACTACTAGTTAGAATTAGTAGTAATTTAGCTTAGATGTTGTATTGATTTTATAATAATCCGTAGTGATTTCGTTATTTTTAGTAGCGTTTTTTGCTAGTTATCACGGTGCTAACCCCTATAAGGGTTAGCACCTAATCCCATCCCAGTTCGGGATGACCAACCCTCAATTGAGGAGTTGGAATGCCAAAAAGCTACCAAAGAAGCAAAACTCACTATTGAGGTTGGACTAAGCATTGTACTTACCATGTCCACCCAACAACGATGTGCGGATTCAGAATTTGAAGAGAAGCTAGTGCGAGAGGATCCTGCCTATGATCCCCTCACTACTTCGAAGAGAG